TTGAGTGTCCAACTTCGGCTCAGGTCATGATCTCAAGGCTGATAAGCTGGAGCCCCGCATCAGGCTCTGTGCTGACAAGCTCAGAGCCTGGAGCCTGCTTCAGATTCTGTGTCTCCCTCTCTCTCTGCCTCTCCCTGCTCACACTATATTTCTCTCAAAAATAAGTATTTTTAAATTAAAAGAAAATAAAAATGGTAATGCAGTTTCACTTATTTAGGTGCTGGCTAGACTTGGCAAACAGGTAAAAGATTTGTAAAGAAACTTAAGCATGTATGAAAGAAGAAATAAGGAATCTCTAGGAACCAAAGGTTGAAAATACTGAAGAAAAAGAAAAGGGGGTGCCTGGGTGTCTCAAGTGGGTTAAGTGTCCGACTTTTGGTTTTGGCTCAGATCATGATCTCATGGTTTTGGGGGTTTGGGTCTCACGTCAGGCTCTGTGCAGACAGCGGGGAGTCTGCTTGGGATGCTGTCTCCCTCTCTCTCTGTTCCTACCCCACTCGCACAGTCTCTGTCTCTCTCAAAATAAATAAAACTTAAAAAAAAAAAAAGAAAAAAACAAGAACAGGAAGAAAGGGAAAAATCAAAAAGATAAGGATAAATACTTGAGGAGCTATAGAAATCAGGCCAGATAAAGTTTTCTCATGTTTAAAAAAATGAAGTTATTTTTCCAGGAATATGTAATAAATTATAGTCAAAATATATAAATATATACACATATATATGTATATGTGTATATATATATATATGTATAAATATATACACACATATATACGTATATGTATGTATATATATAAATATATACACACATATATATACATATATATATACATACATATACACATATACATACATATATACCTAACTATAATTTTTGGTTTTGATGATGAATCTTATCCTTCTAGCCAAAATACAGGTACAACTGAGGGCTGTGGACCTTAAGGCATTGTAACTGGTTCTACAAGGTAGACCTTACAGTCCTATGATTTGTGTCACTTCTTAAATACGTTTAATTTCTCAAATTTTGTATTTTAAAAATACTGAGATCTTATTACCTAAGCATCCTCTATTTTATCTTTGTTGTAAGTCCAACTTTTAAAAATTTACTTTGAAATATAAAATGATATTTGTAACTTTATCCTCTTCCCAACTCTAGTACTGGACCTTGTTTAGTATAGGTAGATGCTTTTTAGCATTAAATACAATTTCTACTCCCACTCTAAAATGTATCATCATATTTTTCTAACGACATATGATTAAGAAAGTTAAAATTTAGTTTACTTTTGTTCACTTTATTTGATAAGCAGGATCTCATACCTTTTCACCATCTTGCTTTTCCAGACGTGCCTGGGTTTCTGGTGCAGGCCGAGCATCCTTATCACTACTTTCGTCCTCAAATTCAATCACACTTTGTTCGGGTTCTTCTTCCAGGAATTCTTCTGAGCTCTCTGATGTACGTACAGTAGACTCCAATCTAGAAAAGAAAAAACATTCTTACTCGTTTTATTAAGGATGAATATAAACTTTCAGGAGTCTGTGAATCAAGTAACACTTTAAAGAATCAACTAAGTGGTGTTCAGTCAACAACTTCTGGTCCAAAGACAGTCTCCTCTTCTTACAAACTTAGCTTCTTTCCTACCTTGTTCTCCGGTTTGAGTGGTAACGTCACCATCTCCTCAAGCATGTAAGCTAAATCCTTCTCTTACTCTCTACCCATTTATGAAAAACAAAATTTGGCCCAGGAAGAAGTAGTTGTAAGGGAAACGAGCTCGCGGCTCTCCAGCTTCTGAGGCTTCAGGTCTGTAGGAGAGAGGAGGCAGCTAGTGAGTAGTATCCACTGCAGCTGGTCCTCGGCGACTCTCCTGTCGACCTCCACACGTCGCACCTGCCGCCGCTGTTGGTTGGAGCATTTGACATGGTGCAGCCAAGAAATGGTTATGGAGAAGCCCAGTCTGCTGCTCATACGGTGGGAGTTTGTGAGGTAGTATTATACTTTGCAGCATAAAGCTCCAGAATATTTACGCAGGTTTTACAGAAGGAATTCTTCCTATGTTCATGCTGGAGTACATGCTAGCGGAAACCCCAGGAGGCTGCTTATGGCCAAAATGATATACAACACAAAGTATTATCTCTGAACCTCAGTGAGTATCACACTAAAATTCATCACGTGGATGCTCATGCAACCTTGAGATCGAGTAGCCGTCCAGGTCACAGGTTGGCTATCTAACAGAGGACAGCCAGAGAGGAAGTTTATACAGACCTTGGATCCGGCTCCTGAAGGATCTGTTCCTAGTAAGTTTATGTTCACAATGATGTGTTTCGTTATACAGATGAACTCTTTGGTGATTCTGAATCAGAACTCAATGAAGGATCAGGAGATGAGGTAAAAAGAGAAACAAGAAGAAAGGCAACCATCCCCAGCACCTGTGCAAGAAAATGCTGATAGCGGTTACTATGAAGCTCAGCCCGTGGCTAATGGCAGAGAGGAGCCTTTGGAAGAGTCCTCTCATGAACTTGAGCCAGAATCTCAAACAAAGACTGAAGAACTAAAGCCACAAGTGCAAGAGAAGAACTTAGAAGAATTAGAGGAGAAGTCTACTTCTCCTCCTCCTTGCTGAACCTGTGTCTCTGCCACAGGAACCATCAAAGCCACGGGTTGAAGCTAAACCAGAAGGTCAGTCTCAGCCACGTTGCATGCATGAACCCTAGAGGTACAACCCTGGTCTCCCTCCTAGAAGACCAAGACCAGGCAGAAGAGATGCTGAACAGAGTGAATCTGACAACTGTAGAATAATTTGCTATCCACACAGTCATCAAATTTTTGTTGATAACCTCCCACATGACATTGATGAAAATGAACTTAAAGTTCTTCATGAGTTTTGTAAACGCTGTGGAACTGCGCATCAATACCAAGGGTTTTGGGAGAAAGCTTCCAAACTTTGTGGGTTTTGATGACTCTGAACCAGTTCAGAGAATCGTAATTGCAAAACCAATTATGTTTTGAGGGGAAGTACGTTTAAATGTGGAAGAGAAAAAAAACAAGAGCTGCAAGAGAGCAAGAAACCAGAGGTGGCGGTTACGATCGCAGGGATATTAGGTGCAATGATCGAGGTCCTGGTGGTCCACATGGAATAGTGGGTGGTGGAATGATGCATGACCACGTTGGAAGAGGACCTCCTCCAAGAGGTGGCACGGCACAGAAACGAGGCTCTGGAGGAGGAACCGGGCAAACGGGAAGCTGCTTCACAGGACAACGTCATGGAAGCTCCTGTTGCCAGTCTCAGCAGTGGTACGTTATGCATCATGTTTGCATTCTTGTTAATTTTTCTTTTTCTTTGGCTTTGGAATGTGACGGCCTTTTTTATCATTTTTTGATGTGAAAAGCATCCTCTATCAGTTAAATTGAGGTGGACATTATTTCCCCAGTTCCATAATAGGATTCACACTGTTAATTTATAAATCTAGACTTGGAGAATTAAGGGCTGAGAAATGACCGTATCTTAAACTATCTACAACAAAATGAACTTAACAGGACATGCCCAACTGAATTCAGGTCCTCTGAGTCAAAACAAATCCTCTGCTGCACATTTTAAGTGTTACTGTTTCTGCCTATTAATGTTGGAAACACAAACAATGCAATTTGTGCAACTGGAGAATCTTGTCTTTTTTCTTGGCTCCCCCCAAAAATACAACCGAACAGAAACTTGTTACGCACTCATCAAAAGGCACTGATGCTCACTCTGACTTCATTAACACGGACATCTGCAACAGGAGGCAACAGGGGGAAAAAAATCTTTCCTCTCTTTTTCCAGGAGAGAATAGTCTGTGAAATGATGAGGGCATTTTATCTGCTTGCTGTGACCAACGTGTGTACACATAAACCTTAGCAAGACTACAAGTACATTCCAGAAGGAATATAGTTATGAACCAAATAACAAAAAGAAGAACTTTAAATGCTATCGTCTTGAACAGCAGACCAGATTCAGTAGCTCCATATCTAAGATTTTTCCACCTACCCCTTTTCAGTACAGGGATGGCTGGCTGCCCAACACATTACTCGTCCCCTTTCTCCTCTCTTTAAACTGTGTACAGTGAAAATGGTCTTTACTTTGTTTTTGTTCTCTGGTAATGTAATAAGCATGATGGTGCCTTCTATTAATACATCAGTCTTGCTGGTAATTCTGTACAGAATAGTGTATGAACTGCTGTGCTGCAAAGCCAAACAGCTGCAAAATGTTGAAAAATCACTGAGGTATATAAAAACTGCAGTATCTTCAAAATCAGTAAAATTGACTAGCACGTTAAAAAAAAAAAAGAAAAGCAAAATTCCACAATAATTCTGGGATGTTCGATTTAAAATGCACGGCTATGTTCCCTTCTAAAAAAAGTATTACATCAAAATACTGCTAAGAAAACTGTAATTAATCTAACCTCTTACCTTTTCACAAATTACTAGCCTCAAATATTTAGTTATATATGCCTTTAACATAAATTTTTCACAAAAATAAACCATTTACATAATTACTCAACTATTCTAATTTAAAATTATTTACATAATGAAATCAGCAGAGGTACAGAATTTTCTACTCGAGTAAAATAATTTCACAGATGAAAAGGCAAAATTATGAATGGTTAACTCCGAAACAGCAGGTAGAACTAGTAAGACAAAAATCTAGTTTTACTAAAAATTTGAAATCTTGCTTTCTTTATGATTCCAAGGAAGATAAAGGATAAAGTTTTAACCCGAGGGTTCTGTTGATTCAGCTGGCTATTAAGTTCCTAGAGGGGCTGACTGAACTTAACCACTTATGGTTATCGCTAACTTGTGTTACATCCAATAACCCAGTAAAATAAATCAGTTATAAAATAAAACTTAAGGTTTTTAAAAAACTAAACCTCAGCATTACTAAAAACTACAGCTACTGGGGCACCTGGTGGCTCAGCTGGTTAAGCTTCCTACTCTTGATCTCATCATCTTGAGTTCAAACCCCATGCTGGGCTCCACACTGGCTGTGGAGCCTACTTTAAAAACAAAACAAAACAAAACAAAACAAAACAAAACAAAACAAAAAACTACAGCTACTGGCAGAGCTGGTGATAACGACTCATTTGTGATAATATAATCACTAGAAAATTCTCTTGGATTTTCACACGTTATGTGTGGCCTATTTTACTCTCTTACTATCAACTTCTCACTGTAACATGTCAAAGTGACACCACTGGTAACTGTAATCAGTAATCCTTAGAAGAATTCAAATACAGACTCTTACGCCAAGGTTATGTGTACGCAAACAAGGTAATAATAGACTCCACCTTAAATACTAAATACTAATTACATGAAAAGAAGAATAACCAAATAATGAGAGTAAAATAAACAGTACTTGTTTACTGAAGCTGTAGGTGAAGTCTGGGGAGTCTTTTCATCTTCCCCTTGCGAACTACTAAATTCAGAATCCTGAAATCGTTTTCCAATCTTTGGCCGCTTTAGATGACTACTTCGAGTACGAGTGGAAACCGGTGTTTTATCATGACCTGAGAAAAAAACCAGCAAAACTACAGTTAATTCATTATGTCTTGAAAGGATTACCTGTTACACTACACAGAAATTTAAGAACTATGCTAGCTTACATATATTCCCCCCCCAATTACACATTTCTTTCTCTCCTATCAGGCTAAGAAACAATGCCAATGTCTTTTTCTAAATTATGAAATAACTTTGCGTTATTCATTCCTCACATTTCTATATTGCTCTGGGCTGTGCAATATATTTTGCATTTTCATTTATATTCTCTCCCAATGATCTTGGGAAATAAATAAGGTAGGTATCAGTCTCCCGATTTTACTGTAAGGAAATGAGGAAAGGGTGGTGTGATAGCTTGCTTTGTTCACACAGCAAGACCAGTGGTAGTGGTGGCATTAGAACTCAGCTCTAACTTTAACAGATGACCATAGGGGAAGAGAAGGAAAAATAAGATACAAACAGAAAGGGAGGCAAACCATAAGTGACTCTTAAATACAGAGAACAAACTAAGGGTTAATGGGGGGATTGGAGGAGAGGGGGAAATGGGTGAAAGGCATTGAGGAGGGCACTTGTTAGGATGATCACTGGATATTGTATGTAAGTGATGAATCATGGGAATCTACTCCTAAAGCCAAGACTACACAGTATGTTGGCTAACTGGACAATAAAAAACAAAACAAAACAAAAAAAAAAACAAACCTCACCTCTAGATCTTAGGTAAGTCTTCATTTACTCTAAGGGACATCCCCTCCCCCTAAATTCTTGTGTCTCACATATTGGTAAATCAGCTGAATTTCTTACCTTCAGAAGTACTTGCAAAGGCATCTTTTAGAGAGTCAATCTAAAACAGAGATACAGATTAAAGGCAAAACTTTTAGATCAGTTTTTCTCCCTATGAATCTACTTCACTCCGTGTCAAAAAACCTTTTGAAACATTTTTCAAGTAGTACTTTTTGTACTATTCATCAATTAAGGATACCTACTTAAGAAATTAAAAGGTTACGTCATAGCCTCAGGTTATGAGGCTGAGCACTTACCAAGCCATCTAGTATGTTCCAATGCGACACACAGGGGTTTCTTAGTGTTCTGTCCTCAACTACGTATGTAGTTTACATACATAAAATACGTATGTCCAACCAACTTCAGAATTAACCTGTCCCAAACTGAACTCTTACCTTTTCCCAACATTATTCTCTATCTTGGTTAATGGCAATAACAATTCAGTCAGCCATTCTAGCCAAAAACCTGAGGGGGTAATGACTTCCTAACCCTCATTCAGCAAACCACAAAGCCTGTCAATTCTGACTCTAACGAATCTCTCAAAACTGTCCCCTCCTTTGTATTACCAAAGCTTTAGTTCATGCCTTTATCATCTTGAATGAGAACTAGTCCAATAGCCTCATCTCTGGTATCCCTCATTCTAACCACATGCTCTGTAACTCCCTCCAAACTAATGAAAGAAAAGCTTCCAAATCATAAATTGTGCCCACTCTCTTACTTTAAAAACAAAAACAAACAAAAAACATTTAATGGTTTATCACTGCCTAGAATACAAACTCTCAACCTCTTCGAAACCGAATGCCTCTTACATACCAAATAGGCCATTTTCTTTCACACCTCTCCTTTTTACATGCTCGCCTTTAGAAAGCTCTAACCTTTGGCACAAAACTCCCACCTACCCTTTCCAAGTCAGCTTGGTTGCTACTTTACCTATTCCACTCCTTGGGCAGAATCAGTCATACTCTGCTATGTACCTTCAATCATTTGCTATATGCTCTATTAAGGCAACTGTAATCCTGTAGTTTATTTCCTTATTTAACAGTTTCCAATAACGGACCATCTACTTCCTCCCATGCTTGTAAGAACCATATTTTTGTACATCCGGTGCTTGCCACAGCATCTACTTTATTAGACCAACTACTGTTCATTTTTTATCACACACTTGCTGAAACCCTACAACAACGTAGGCACAGAGACTTTAAGGCCTATTGATAGGACACAAACAAGGGTAAACTGTGACAGATGACTAGACAAAAATCCAGTCTTCAAGAAACCTGCAGTTCAACTAGACAAGGTAAAGACACAAATAAAGATCAATAAATAAAAGATACAAAAAGTGTAAGAGAAATACATGTAATGTTTTATGTCCCAAAATAGGAAAAACCAAGTAGAAATACCATCACCACCTAAAGAATAAATCATGTATTGATCACTTCACAGTGTATATCAAAACACCAAGTGTACAACTTGTCAAAATGTGGACAATTTTTGTCAATTATACTTCCATAAAGCTAAAAAAATGTAGATCAAATAAACAAACAAGACCACTTTCCCATGTGGTTACTGATAAAAAGAGAGATTAAAAATAGTTTAATGTGAGAAATATTTTCCTTGAACTAATTAAAATCTTAATGTAATCTGAGTAAGAATTTCTAAAACCAAAAAAAATCCCATTTATGCTGCCAACCTTATGATATGGTTTAATATATATTCTCATTTACACAACCCATTTATAAGTATTTGGCTTATTATTAAAGTAAATCATTGTATAGGAAGAGACTTTTTTCTACATTCACTGACTGGTTTTATGTCTGAAAAACAGACATAAAATGTATACATACATTTATAAGTATTTGGCTTATTATTAAAATAAATCATTGTATAGGAAGAGATTTTTTCTACATTCACTGACTGGTTTTATGTCTGAAAAACAGTACATAAATCTGAGTATATCTGAGAAATCTGGACCACAATATAATCGAACCCAGGCTTATCATGAAGTTTGAAGTTCCAAATGTAGAAAAAATTAAAACTCCTTATATGTAATTATATTATTTATGTTATCTTTAAAAATGTTTCAGGGCACCTGGGTGGCTTAGTCAGTTAAGCATCCAACTCCTGATCTCGGCTCAGGTAGTGGTCTCATGGTTTGTGAGACTGAGCCCCACGGTGACCACACGAAACGTGTTTGGGATTCTCTCCCTCTCTCTGTCCCTCCCCGCTTGAGCACACGCTCTCCCTCTCTCTATCTCAAAATAAGTATATAAACAACAAAAAATGTTTCAAAAATGTTCGGTCAACACTCATGCTAATTAAGGCAGGAATACGGGGCACAAATAATTCCCCAAAGCACTTGTCCCTAAAAGGTTACCTAGTATTTGCAAAGTGCACTACATTCCACAAAGACGTAGCATATATAGGCTCAAACTTCCCACAATAACTTCACAACCTTTAACCTACAACTAATATCACTTCTAAAAATTCATCCATGCCTCAAACTTCCCAAAGTAACTTCATAACCTTTGACCTACAACTAGTATCACTTCTAAAAATTTATCCCTGCAAGGAAAGCATTACATAGGCAAAAAGATACATGTATAAATGTGTTCACTGCTGGGCCACTTATGTATGTAAAAAACTTAAGTATATAATACGTTAAAGAAATAAACAATAATATTTCCATATACTAGAATAGTATGCTGCTACTGAACAATCATGTTTTAAACAGTAATGCCATGGGAAATACTTGCAATACCATGTTAATGGAGAAAAACAGAAGCAGCACAACAGAAAACAAAAATGTACACAAATACATGTTTTGTAATATATATGAAATACAAATACAAAAGTGTTCACAGTTGCTGTATCTAGGGTAGTGGAATTACAAATTTTTATTTTACTTTGTATTATTGTGTGTGTATTCCAAATTATTCTTCAAGGAAAATTAAGTCCTTAGTAACCAATTAACAGGAAATACCAAAAAAACAAGCACAGTAAAAATTACGTAAGTTTGGTGAATGAACTATAACACTTACAAAATCAAATATTAGCTGCATCTAGTTTAAAGAAACAGAAAAATCATTTCCTACAATAAACATACAGTGTACCTACAGTTAGCTGCATCTCACTAGACTGATTGTCTTCAGTTTCTGCTTCATATTCTGGAACAGATGCAAGACCATATTCTCCAGACATGGGTCTTTTGGCTTCATTTTGAGAAACTGCTGTGTATAGAAGAATTTTAAAAATTGTAACCTAATCAGTATTTGGTTTTAACTGCAGCAATGTTTGCCCTGATTTTCACAAAAGCCCTGAAGAGCATCCTGAACAGAGGGTGTTGAAAATCTAGGTGTGGAACATCTCCTTCATCAGTAACTTACAATGAAATCTTGAAATCACAAAAAGTATTACTTACCTGTATTTAGTGACTATGAGGAAAGTGACTATGAGGAAAGTGACTATTAGGAGGACTATGAGATTGGGAATTACCCTTTGATCCCTTGATGCCTATTCTATGCTGATATCTGGGTTTACTTCTTACCTACCAATACCTGCCAGAATGTTAGATTCTTACGGGCTATTATTCTAGGTCCTCTTATTACTAGTAACCCAAATGTTAATACATAACAAAAATTCAAACTTTAGAAAAGAGGGTCTGTTACTAGAGAGGTCGCATTACAATATACCATAACTCTGGACTGTAAGACACAACCATCAATAGGCACTTTTTTAAGCTGGACATGTGTTCAAACTGAAAACCTGTAGTTCTTACCAGTAATTTTAAGCGTTTCTCTCTGTAATGCTCTGGTGACTGGTATTCGCTGGTACCAGTGTCCAACACCTTCAACTTCCCAGAGGAGTTCATGATCTCCTGGATACTTTTCAAAGTACTGCTTGCAAGCTGAAAAATACATTTAGAATTTTCTAGAAATCCCTGATATCAATTGTTTTGGAAAAAAGAAGAGAAAGCTGCTACACTCACTTAAAAATGCTAAGGCAACTCAAGAAAATCACACAGCAGTCTCATTTACGAAAACTTTAACATGATAAAAAATAAAAATCCTGATAAAAGATACGTTTCTAAAGAAAAAAAAAAGATGCGTTTCTAGTAAGAAGTTGCTACAGCCAAGGTCAAAGAGGTTTTTGCCTGCTTTCTCCAATAGTATTTTGATGGCTTCCTGTCTTACATTTAGGTCTTTCATTCATTTTGAGTTTATTTTTGTGTATGCTGTGAGAGAGTGGTTCAAGTTCATTCTGCTGTATGTCGCTGTCCAGTTTTCCCAACTGGGAAAGTTGCTAAAGAAACTCTTGCCAGAGAAACTCTTTTTTCCCATTGGATATTCCTTCCTGCTTCATCAAAGATTAGTTGGTCATAGGTTTGTGAGTCCATTTCTGGGTTCTCGATTCTGCTCCATTGATCTGTGTGCCTGTTTTTGTGGCAGTACCATACTGTCTTGATGACGGCAGCTTTGTAATACATCTTGAAGCCCAGAATTATGATGCCTCCAGCTTTGGTTTTGTTTTTCAACACTACTTTGGCTGTTTGAGTCTTTTCTGGTTTTAGAATGGTTTGTTCTAGCTCTGTGAAGAATGCTGGTGTTATTTTGATAGGAATTGCATTGAATGTGTTGATTGCTTTGGGTAGTATAGACACCTTAACAATATTTGTTCTTCCAAATCCATGAGTATGGAATGTTTTTCCATTTCTTTGGGTCTTCTATTTCTTTCATGAGCTTTCTACAGTTTTCAGCATAAAGATCTTGTACCTCTTTGGTTAGGTTCATTCCTAGGTATCTCATGGTTTTTCGTGCAATTGTAACTGGGATGGATTCCTTGATTTCTCTTTCTGCTGCTTTCATTATTGGTGTATAGAAATGCAACCAATTTCTGTACAATGATTTAATATCCTGCAACTTTGCTGAATTCATGTATCAGTTCTAGCAGTCTTTTGATGGGGTCTTTCATGTTCTCCATATAGAGTATCATGTCATCTAGAAGAGTGAAAGTTTTGACTTCTTCCTTGCTGATCTGGATGCCTTTTATATCGTTTTGTTTTCTGATTGCTAAGGCTAGGATTTCCAACACTATGCTGAAAAACAATGGTGAGAGTGGACATCCCTGTCGTGTTCCTGGCCTTAGAGGGAAAGTTCTCAATTTTTCCCTATTGAGGATATTAGCTGTGGGTCTTTTGTCTATGGCCTTTATGATCTCGAGGTATGTTCCTTCTGTCCCTACTTTGATGGCTTTTATCAAAAAAGGATGCTATAATTTGTCAAATGCTTTTTCTGAATCTATGGAGAGGATCATCTGGTACTTATCAGTTTTTTTCGTTAATGTGATATATCACATTGGTTGATGTGCAGATATTGAACCAGCCCTGCAGCCCAAGAATAAATTCCACTGGATTGTGGTGAATCATTCTTTTAACGTATTGTTGAATTTGATTTGCTAGTATCTTGTTGAGAATTCTTGCATGCATTTTCATCAGGGAAATTGGTCTGTAATTCTCCTTTTTAGTGGGGTCTTTGGTTTTGGAATTAAGAGAATGCTGGCCTCATAGAATGAGTTTGGAAATTTTCCTTTCCATTTCTATTTTTTGGAACAGCTTCAAAACAATAGGTATTAACTCTTTTTTGCATGTTTGGTAGAACTCCCTTGGGAAGCCATCCAGCTCTGGACTCTGGCTTGTTGGGAGAATTTTGATTAATGATTCCACTTCTTTACTACTTATGGGTCTGTTAAAATTTTCTACTTCCTCCTGTTTCAGTTTTGGTAGTTTGTAAGTTTCTAGGAATTTGTTCGTTTCTTCCAGACTGCCCGAATTGTTGGCATATAATTGCTTATAATATTCTCTTATTATTGTATTTATTTCTGCAGTGTTGGTTGTGATCTCTCCTCTTTCATTCGTCCACAGAAACTTCTTACTAGACATGTCTCCAGAAGTAAGGGAAACAAAAGCAAAAATGAACTATTGGGACCTCATCAAGATAAAAAGCTTCTGCACAGCCAAGGAAACAATCAACAGAAATAAAAGGCAGCTTATGGAATGGGAGAAGATATCTGCAAATGGCTTATCAGAATACAAGGCTAGTATCCAAAATCTATAACGAACTTATCAAACTCCTCACCCAAAAAAAACAAATAATCCAGTGAAGAAATGGGCAAAAGACATCAACAGACACTCCTCCAAAGAAGACATCCAGATGACTAAGAGACACAGGAAAAAATGCCCAACATCATCAGAGAAATACATATCAAAACCACAATGAGCTACCATGTCACACCTGTTAAATGGCTTAATATTAACAACTCAGGAAACAAGAGATGTTGGCGAGGATGTGGCAGAAGGGGAATCCTTTTGCACTGCTGGTGGGAATGCAAAGTGGGGCAACCACTCTGGAAAACAGCATGGGGGTTCTTCAAAAAATTAAAAATAAAACTACCCTATGACCCAGCAAGTGCACTACTAGGTATTTAGCCAA